CAAGTAAGGGGAGCTTGGCATCACTGCGGAAATGCTACAGATGTAACCTAAGGGCAATGACATGAAAGCATTTCCTTTCTCGGATCAGACTCCCCGGTTTTCTGTCCTTCCACTCTGACACTCAACTGCATCTGGAAGAAAGCAGAGAAAAACTATTTTCTTTTCTTTTGAAGTAATCACAAATCCTTCCTCTCTTGTTGTTTAATGATGCTAAAAGATGTTTACATTTTGTTATAGAGGAAAATATCTTTGGTTATTATTGAAGTTCATTTAGCTCTTGGTTTCCTACTCGATTTTCAACTTCAGGCACCTTTTGTGTTACATAAATTCATCATGAAGTTTGGTAATCACTAAATACTAATAATTTATTTACCTTATTGATCAGCAGCTTTTGCATTAACTAGTTAGATGACAAATCCATTCATGGAAAATCAACAGCATAAAGCCAGAATACCAAGAAATAAGATGAGCTGTCCTGCTTTTGATACAGATGTGTTATTGACTGTCCTGCCCGCTTTTCAGAATATTTTAGAGCCTCACCACCACTACTGTAATTCTATCTACTTCCTTCTCTTTGATCTCCAGCAACAATGGATTCCAGCTGTGCCCTCCTCTGTCATCACTTTCAGGATTCTAGATGACCCTATAAACATTCCCGAGCTTCACAAGAATTTGGATATGCTTGTCACTTCCTTTTTTATTTTTTTAAATTAACTAGTATTTTTATTCACAGCTTGCAATTAGGACTTAACTTCAAAACATGTAAAACATAAACTTTGCTTGATAATTCAGAAATCTCGGAAGTAAAAAAAATCTATATTACTGACTTCAGAAAAAATCAGTCTCCCTAAATGCACTGCTCTGGTGCTGTACTCTGCACAAAGATGGTTATCTGTGCTAGTCTGAAGACAAACAGAAGCAGGAGGGCCGGATGGCATCTTTGAGATGAACGGGTTCAGAGAGGCATGACCCTTTGTAGGCAGTGTCCTACTTTGTTAGGTGCTACGCACTGTGCACTGGCTTCCCACGAGTACGGCCCAAGGACTCAGTCCTGCAGTTCTACGCCCGCTCTTTTTACTGGCCCTAGCAATCTGAGACTGTGATGTGTGGCAGCAGTGAGGTGGCTCCAGGACAAGGTACCTGTTGAGCAGCAGAAGGCTTGTGAGCACAAGCGCAGATTTCATGGAAGCTTGTCTGGGGGCATAATAACATCCCCTCCCACCCTGTATTTGGGATTAAGCGCAAATCTACCCAGCCTCACTTTCCTTCAGTAAATTCTTCACAATCCACTGCAAAAATCCAAGCTACTTCTCTTCCAAATGAGGCAGAAAGAGTTATTTCTATTTATAATCACTTGGAAAAGACATAATTAGCACCTATAGAAGTAAAAATCATCTGCGTCTTCAAGCTGTGCTATTCCCTTGCAATCATAATATTGTTACATGCTCTAGATCCTACATATTTCTCTGTGAAGTCCCAAGGAAATCAAAACCGCTGCACTTATCCCAGTAGAGTTGTTTTAGAGGCGACTGCGGCATGCGCGGAACTTTGTGCAGCAGGAAGTGCTGACTCTCACAGGCTCTCTGCAGGGTGTGTAACATTTTGTTCTGCATCAAACCACGGGCTCCATCTAAGCAACCCAGATGGAGACTGGGACCCTTTGCACCTCATTCCCCAGAGTAAACGCAGCTGACAGGGACCCCCACTGCAGCCACCTGCAGCCTGCTGGGGTGACCTGTGGAAATGCTAAAGCCAATACTGAGTGATGAAGCTTATCTTGGAGCAGAACATGTAGCAAAGACCTCTGTGCAGAGTTCAAACTGAATTATTTGCACTGCGGAGGATACAGATCCTGCCACCACTTTTTTCTCAGGGCTTTGTCTGAGTGGTGTGGACCCTTCTGAAGGAGAAGACCTCCATCTAGGTTTGATCATTTGAGCCCAGCCCACTCCATAACGCGATGCCATTCTCCTACCCCCAGGCCTGCATGCAGCTTCCCTCCCTGGCTTTTGACATAAAGTCTCTAGTTCTCCCTCACTTTTTTTTCTGCTAAGCATCACAGTAGCAGTAAGGAGGGCAGGGCCACTGGACAGGACAAGGGGAGAGGACAGGCATGCACAGTGGGCTCTGCACCCTCCATGTACCGCGGCACAGCTCAAGGTGCTGTATTCCACGTGGGGGTGGGAGGGCTGGGGGTGAGAAACCCGAAACGACTATCTGGAGGGTGGGCATGAGGGCATAGGCTCCAGCACAGATTGCAAGGGGCGACTCAAGGTCCTGTGGGGTCTGGGTGTGGGCAGTCCACACGCCACATGAAATGATACCTTGCTCGTCTCTATATTCTGTGAATGTGTCAATAAAGTAGTTGGTATGAGAAAACTGACGTGCAGTAACTCCTTCAGGCTGCCACTTCGGCTGTGACCTGGCAAGAGCGGGGAGTAACAGGAGGCAAGTACACTAGGGTCCAAGAAGCTGGCTAGGAGATGGCACTGGAGAAGAAGGATCCGTGGACAGGCTGGAAATACTGACGGAGAGGAGAAGATCTGGGAACAGGAGTGACATGAAGATGAGCAGAGCAGGAGCGCAGTAGTCTCGGGCACTGGGAAGTGAATGAACACCGGTGTTGCCTTCTCAGGTGGTCGTCTCAGAGCGGTGGCCTCGGGCACTGGGAAGTAAATGAACGCCGTTGCTGCAGTCTCGGGTGGTAGTCTCAGAGCAGTGGTCTTGGGTGCTGAGAAACGCCGTTGCTGCAGTCGGGTGGTTGTCTCAGAGCGGTGGTCTCAGGTGCTGGGAAGCGAGCAAAAGCTGTTCGGTTTCAGGCGCGGGGAAGTGAGCGAACGCCGTTGCTGCAGTTGCGTGGTTGCCTGGCAGTGGCAGTCTTGGGCGCGGGGAAGCAAGTGAGCGCTGTTGCTGCAGTCTCAGGTGGTCGCCTGGGAGTGGTGGTCTCAGGCATGGGGAAGCGAGCACGTGCTGGTGCTGCGGTCTCGGGTGGTCGTCGTGGAGCGGCGGTCTTGGGCATGGGGAAGCGAACGAACGCATGCAGCGGAGCAGGGCGGGCAGGACCTCCAGGCCCCCTTGCACCATGTCATGGCTATCGTTTGTGGCACAGGCGAGTCTCGCTCCTCGGTTCGGAGCTCGAGGTGAGGTGACCATCACCCCACCGGCACGGACAGCTACCACACCTGCCCCGGGAAGGCAGGACTGCAGCTGCCAGCATCCTGCTACCATGAACCATCGTGGAGAGGTGCTGCAGGGCCCCAGCACAGACCCAAGCCCCGCTGGGAATCACGTGGCCGCATGGTTGGTGCCACAGGCGTCAGGGCCTGGCCCAGCCCGGCTGCAGCTGCCCCCAGCGTCACCCCCAACACATGCAGCGCGCCCCCCGGCCCAGGCCCACTGCCACCGGGCCTCGAACCCCAGTACCTACAGGGGGAGGGAAGGAGGGGCTATGGGGGCGGAGCACAAGCAGGCCACGCCCCCGACGACGTTTGCAGTGCCCCTCCCTCCCTATCAACCCCGAGCGCGCAACGTGAGGCGACTCTCGCGAGAAGCCGTGCTTGAGGATAGGCGCCTGGAAGGCCTCGCGAGAGTTCCTGTTCTCCGCCGTAGCTCTCGCGAGAAGCCGTGCGCGAGGCCAGAAAACGGGAAGCCGTCGCGAGAGTTTTCTTTCCTTTCCTTCTCGTTCCGAGCCGTAACTCTCGCGAGAGCTCGAGCAGGCGGCAGGCCGGGGCGACAAGATGGCGGCTACGACGACTATCTCTCTGGTGAGCGCCTTGACTTCCTCCTTCTCCTCCACCCCTCTTCCCCGCCACGGCGCGGCCGGGCCCGGTCCGG